CCTCGTATAGCTCTATGTAACCCTAACTAGAGAGCATGTATCAGTATGTTAGAATATCTGGCAGTTATTGGGTTAAATGCTGATTTGTTAATGGGTCAGTGGGAGGAGTTTCTAAAGGGCATTGGGAGAATTCCTGGACACAAGCCAGATTGGAATGTCTTTGTCTGAAAGAAGCATGGGCCATCAGATGTCACCCGATGAGCATGCGCCGCTATAAAGATGGTATGGAAGAGAGCATTATTCTTTTACCTATAGGAATGGACAAAAGATGTATTTTCCAGAAGTAACAACCACAGCATGAATGCAAGTAATCTTTCTGACTGAAATATATATTTTTGTTATGAAATCATTTCTATTGAGTTATCTATCTGACTTGATTTAAAAGAAAGCGTTTTTAACTCAGAGTCAGAATAGTGGGTGTCCTTCCACCATTTAAAAAACAACATGGTCCAGCAGCTGTTTTATTCATTGCCTGATTTATATAAGTCTATAATTTTCAGAAATTGCTCAGTAAAAGACGCTCTATGAGTCTGTGGTGATACGTATATGTGGAAAACCCCCCACAACCATTCTCAAGGTATCCACATATAGTGGCAGAATGGAGAATGTATCGTTGTGATGTAGACCCATTTCCCCCCTGAAGATCTGCTTGTCCTAAGCAGAGATGGGATTGTAGCATATCCTTTCAAATAGAGATTCCATCAAATGGCTGTCCACCATCTTGCTGCTTTTGACCTCACCTCCTCCACAGCTTCTGCTGACCATTTTCATAGATTTGATGGGAAAATAGTTGTCAATGCTGCTAACATTGGATGTTCTTGCTTTGACAACATATAGAGATCCAGTCTTTTTCTTTCTTATACTTTACTCTTAGAATTAGATGATACTGGGGGAAGGGGAGGAATGTGATGGGAATTAGTTAGACATAAAATATTGTAATAAGAGCTGATGAGGAATCAACGGGAAAAGAACTGGGTGGAAAGCCAGCATTTCAAACTAATTGGAGAATATGATTTATGACTGTTAGATGTAGGAGGGAATTGTGTTTTGATTTATGTGCTGAAGGGAGGGGAAGTCAGATTTTGGCTTCAACTATGTATGTGCCGAAGCTATGCTGTTCAAATAAAGATTCTTTAAGGTAAACAATGCCTCAAAGTTCTTTGAAGAGTTTCCTCTGTCGGAACCATGACAGTAGTCTTGTTAGAACTACAAATCCCAGCATCCCTTACCATGCATCGTGCACAAGGAGCTTGGTATTCTCCTGAGAATTGGTGAAGAGAGGTTTTGTTTTGTTTCTGGTTAATGCAGTAGACCAGTGATGGCGAACCTTTTAAAGACTGAGTGCCCAAAAAACTGGCCCCGCCTCTGCTCCACCCCTGCCCTGCCCCCACCCCACCTGCCTGCAGGGCCACTCACTGCCTCCAGGGCCCACTGCAGATCGCCCAGGCAGCCCAGCAGCGCCATGGCAGCCACGCCCTCTGCCCGTGCCCTGCAGTATTAACTGTGCACGATTGGGCATGAGGGCAGAGTCTTGTCTACGTTGCTGGCTGCCATGTCCTTGGCTGTGCTGCTCTGCATGGGCCACACTCGGGGGTGACTCTCCTCCAGGGAGGCTGCTGGTGAGGAGGGGGTTGCGGGGGGAGGCAAGGCTGGGACAATAGCATGTGTGCCCACAGAGAGGGCTCCGAGTGCTACCTCTGGAACCCGTGCCATAGGCTCGCCACCACTGCAGTAGACTATGCAGAAATATGGATTTGCTGATTAAAAAGGACTAAATATGGGAAGAAAGAAAGTATGAAATAACTTTATAGGAGAAATAAGTTTGTTTTACTAACTGCTGCAAAGATCATAAATCGCTTCTCAATATTTTTCTTTTTTCTTTCACTTGCACTATTTTTCACATCTTTTTATCTTCTCTTTTTATTCTATAGTATTTCATATTTATCATTTATTTCTGTGTAAATCTTAAATACATGAATAAATAATCAAAGGGGTAAAACTGATCTTCTTGCAGACTCCTGTGACTTTCAAATACTGGGGGAGAGGTGGGAGAAGTGAAGCAAAGTGAATACCAGTGGAAACAGAAGCAGCTTTGGAGTTGCTTTTTAAGCTGCAAAAAAAGACTTTACTGCTTTTAGAATTCCAAAAGGGGAGCTGCAGACTTATCAGAAATAAGGACTCCAGTGTAGGGTGGGCAGCTGGACTAGGGTTCCCTAACCTTTCTGGCTTTGTGGACTGGTGGTGGGGAGGGCAGAGAGGGGATGGTTCTGCGTGAGCGGTGGGCAATGCATTTGCCGTTCACACAAATGGTGTTTTCATGTGCTCATCTGCTGCTCATGCAAATGTGGATGTACATCACTCATCCACTTATGTGGCCCAGTTCTGAACAGCTCAAGGCCAGGTAGTGGGCTGTGGCCTGGGGGTTGGGGACCTCTGGAATTAGAACTTTCAAGGTCCCTTCCAGCCCTGATTCTCTATTGTTCCAAACACTTATTTTGAAGTTTATTACTCCAGAAAACAGAAATTGACTTTGGCAACAAAAGAATTGTGGGAAGTCAGCCTCCCAGAGAAGGAAATATTAAAAGGGCAGAAAAATATATTTCCTCAAAGGATCCTAAAGAGGCAGAAAAGCATGCCCAGTTTTTCTTAATAGCCCCAAGTCTCCCTTCCCCAAGCAAAAACCAGCTCTGCAGAAATGCAGATGTGATAATCTTGTTAAAATGACTGGAACGAGGAAACTGGGATTAGGAAGAAAGATCCCTAGAATCAACACAACAATTTAAGAGTCATCAGCCCCAGCCCCAGGGAAGCAGGATATAACCCTTGGGACATAATAGGATTAATCCACCATCATCAGAATACCAGAAAGGCACACTCAGACTCAGGTCAAAGTTCATGCCACAGCAACAACTCCAAACAAAAGGCTCCAAAGGGTATAAAAACCCACTCCCTACATGTGCTTCACTCTTTTTCTTCCAGAGCCATCTTTCTGTCTGGTTCTCCTCTTCAATAAACTGCAGTGCCATGTTGTTTATTCCCGGCTTGGACTGAACCATGATGAAGACTTTTCCTTCAACAGAATGAATGAATGAAAAGAACTAATGTAAAGACAAGAAAAAAACCTGTTTATATTTCACATCCAACAACCTCCTTGAAATATTGCTCACAGAACAGTAACAGTATTTTTTTTCTTTTTTATATTTTCCAGGATGCAGCAGAGCTAGGAATATTCCGTCCCCTAGTGTTGAGTCTATGGAAAATCAAGCTTTTGATTGATAGTTGAGCAGAATTACATCTGTTTTGGGATGTTATTTGCTCATTTGTAGGTTCATACAATGAAATATGTATTTTCATAAGCATGATAATTTTTATATGTATAGTATATGTGTATTTAAAACATTTAAAGTTATAGTTTCAAACCTGTTTTCTCAGAATAGATGTATGTACGCAATAGGACAAGTGCAGGAAAGGTTCCTGGATCAGATACTTGTGGCCCTCAGAATCTCCTCAAAACTTCCAGTGTAGTGGTAAAAAAAGAGGGACAATTCCAGTGTATCTTCTCAAATATATCTTACATAATTGAAAAGAAAAACATTTCATTCTCAGATCCCTAAATGGGGGGAAATTAGCTCTGTCCATGTTTTTAGGTGACATTATTCACTTTACATCATTACTGTATCCACTCTAATCCCTAGTGAATATTTCTTGTTTCCATGTTTCTTCAATGATCCTGTTCAGATCCAGATAAGGAACTGAACAATATGGAAACTTGGAAAAGTACATGAAGAGAGTTCTGTTAAAAGCAGGCCACTCAACATGAAGCCAGCTGAGAAGATGCTGGATGAAACATTGTTGAAACATGTTAACGTTCAAGTGTTTGCTATTAAAACACACATTATTTATTTGATTCTAAAATACAATAAAAGAATAAACTATAAACAATCAAAATATAAAGAATATAGAATCATACCTCCCTCCCTCCCTCCCTCTCCCCTCTTTCTTTCTTTCTTTCTTTCTTTCTTTCTTTCTTTCTCTCTCTCTCTCTCTCTCTCTCTCTCTCTCTCTCTCTCTCTCTCTCTCTCTCTCTTTCTCTTCCCCTTCACCATCTATAAATCAAGTAGTTATTCTAGAAAGAGTCCAGAGAAGAAAAATAAAGATGTTTAAGGAGCTGGAGGCTGAAACATATAATGAATGTTTGCAGGAACCGGGTGTGTCTAGACTAAGAGAAGGATGAGGGGTGATATGATAGGAGCCCTCCAATATTTGAGAGGCAGTTACAAAGAAGAGGAAGATAATCTATTCCCCAAAGCACCTGAGGGCAAAACAAGAAGTAACAGAAGGAAACTTATCAAAGAGAGATCCTACCTAGAATTAAAGAGAAATTTCCTGACAGTGAGAATAATTAATGGAAAGGTTTGCTTTCAGAAGTTGTGGTTGCTCCAACACTAGAGGTTTTAACAAGAGATTGAGCAGCTATTTGTCCAGAATGGTATAGGGCAGGGGTGTCAAACTGCCGGCCCACAGGCCAGATGCGTCATGTGGATGCCATGCCCACCCCATTGCTGGCAATGGCAAAACTCTCCTGATACATTGCATGACATCATGTGACATTGCAGGTTTGACATGTCTGGTGTAGGGTCTTTTGCAAGGGGTTGGACTAGAAAACCTCCAAGGTCCCTTCCAAACTCTGTTATTCTGTTTCCTGTAAAATGAAATATTCAAGTGGAATAAGCCAGGGCTTTCTAACCGGGGGTGCTCACATCCCCTGGGGGTGCGAGACGATATTCCAAAACTTGGGTTTAGAAGTTTCAAAATTATAGTGTATATGCATAATTCATTTTGAACTTTTGTAAGGGGTGCGAGAATATATCAGAAGTGTTCTAGGGGTGCAGGGTATAGAGAAGATTGGGAACCACTGGAATAAGCAGACTGTGAGCATCTGTTCATACTTTTTAAAGCCAGTATTCATGGAGAAAATGCCTATTTCTGTATATATTGTTTTACAAAGAAAGCTTCAACTTCAAAATTGCACTGAAATATTCTTCATTTTCAGGATCAATGTTCAAGGCTTCTTCATAGGCTTCCAATGCTTGTTGCTTTTTTCCATCGAGCTGATGAATAAATCCAAGGATGGCGAAATTCTCAGCAGCGGTTTTACCTTTCCTGATTTTATTTTCCACTAATCTCTTCAATATACGTTTGCATTTATCTCTCTCAAAAGACTCATTTTCAATCTTCAGCGTTGCAAGGTAGTGTTTGATAGCTTCTGATGGTGAGCCTCTGTCAAACTGTTGAAAACACCCCAAATTAAAATTGAGCTGTTTCTTCTCTAAGGAAGTTAGATGATTGCTGGTGGTAAAGAGTTTCTGGTATATTTCATCTGCTTTATGTAGCTGTCCTTGTTTTACATACATCTTCGCAAGGTCAATAGTAGGATAGAAAAACTTAGGTTTACGCTCCACCACTTTTTGGAAATAATAAATGCAACATCTGAGCAATTCCTCCATTTTATCCTTGACTTGGCACTTGCCATATTGACTTTCATTTTTCATCACTAAATACTGTTTTCTATAGCAAAGGCCAATCTGATGGTACAAAAACCCAGCGTTTGGGGTCAAGCTTAATGCTTCCTCCAAATATTGTAGTGACATCTCTACATCTCCTTTCTTCCTATAAAATTTGGCAGCATACCTTAATATATAAGGAATGTCAGGATGTTTTTGAAGGGCTTCTTTAATGTAGTTTTCTCCTTCTTCCATTTTTTTTATTTCTTGAAGCTTAATTGCAAGTAGAGGAACAACAAATACATCATCAGGATTCAGTTTTACTGCAAGCCTCAAAGGTTCCAGTGATAACTTTGATGGCTTTTCGGCAAAATGATCTTCTAGGCGGTATACCGTAATTGCATAGCCTGAGTTAAATTCTGGGTTTTCTGGTTCTTTTTCCAGTGCTTTTTCAAAGCTCTCCTTGGCCTTTTCGTAATACCTGCTTCCAAATTTTAGAAGCGACCAACCCTTATCACAGTAGATCTGTGGGAGCTCCATCTTATAAGAAGATGCACTTCCAAGTTGCTTGCAGACGCTTTCTACCTTCTTCACATAGGTTTGGGATTCAGTAAGATTGCCCATGTGGTAGTGCACCCAGGCATAGTTGCCCCATGTAACCAGGCTTTTCTTTTCAACATCCCCAGGATGGGCACAGTCTCTTCAGCTTTCTGTAAGTTTTCCAGTGCTTCTTCCTTCTTGTTGTTCAGGAATTTCACATAGGCAAGAAGGTTATAATTTCGAACTTTGGATTTATTGATTAAGAACTGGATCTGCTCAGCAATTCTTTCCTCCAATTCATCAGGATGAATATGCTCTTTCTGCAACATCCATGTAAAATGGCATTCAAACTGTTGGAGAATCTCTTTTAAACCTTCCTGGGAGAGGAGACTACAGGACAAAAGAAAAGACAATGAGAGATATTTACAATTTGCAGACAAAGAAATTCAATTGAAGAGTACATTTTCATACTACTTTTGTATTACTTTTTATTTAATGTATAGAAATCAATTAGTGATAATTAGGCTATGTATCTAGATCAGGGGTGTCAAACTGCCGGCCTGTCGGCTGGATGTGTCATGTTGAAGCCGCGCCCACCCCATTGCCAGCAATGGCAAAACTAGCCTGATATGTTGCGCGACATCAACTGACATCACGAGTTTGACATGCCTGATCTAGATTATATTCCTTTGTTATATTTTCCCATCGTTACCTCAGGACTAACTGCATGTTAAGCTTTATGCCTCTCCAAAATGTATTAAAACATTTATGACTATAGTGTGATCAGTGTTCAGGAATTCATTGCAAAATAGGAATGAACTAGACCAATGTTTATTAAAGTATGGTCCCAGAACCTCCTAAGGTCCCTCAAGACCTTCTTAAGAGACCATGAAATCAAAATTATTTATCAAATAATTAAGATATTTACAAAAATGTAAAGCAATATCATTCTTTTCATTTTTTAAAATTTGTTAAAAGATAAAGATAGTATGTAGGAAAAACCTTAGGAGATTAGGCAGAGACTCTGCTAACGGAACAGTCAAATGAGAGACAGCATGACCCACAAATGAATGGAGGGCTGGACAAGAGGTTTAAAAGAGACTCTCCCTAGTTTTTCACACTGTAGAAGAGTGAGGGAAGGGGGGGAAGAAGGAGGTTCTGTCAATGTAGCTTTAGAATAGAAGAGAATTAGCTCATATGGTTGTGAATCCTATATGGCAGAGATGGCAAACCTTTTAGAGACCAAGTGCCCCAAAACTGCCCCCCCCATCCCCGTCCCTGCTCTGCCCTGCCCACAGGGCCACCCCCTAGCTCCACGGCCTGCCACAGATCACTCAGGCAGTCCAGCAGCGTCATGGCCTTCTGCCCATGCCCCGCAGCAGCATCTGCGCACAATGGGGCACAAGGGCAGTCTTGTCCCCGCTGTCCGGCTACCATGTCCTTGGTTCTGCTGCTTCGCGTGGGCCGCACACAGGGGCGATTCTCCTCCAGAAGGGCTGCTGGTGAGGAGGGGGCCGTGGGAGGAGACGGGGCTAGGGAGACGGTGCGCATGCCCACAGAGAGGGCTCGAGTGCTGCCTCTGGCACCTGTGCCATAGGTTCGCCACCATTGCTATATGGTTTACAATGTGAAGCTAATAATAGAGTTTTTGCATGAAAATATTTTATTTATATTAATATCTAATGCTTGAATATTAGTTTTATATAATTTGGTAAATATTCTACAAATGTGTCAGTGTTAACCTTTAGGACTCCTGAGAGCAAAATGTTTTAAAACACTATTATTCTAGCCTTTCCCAATCTGATGCCCTCTGATAGGTTGGTTTTCAATTTTCTGTGCTGCCTGGGAATTCTGGGAGATGAAGTTCAACATACAAGGCTGACTTAAAAGTACTCTAGATTCATTGATCTCCCACTTTTCTCCAGCAGCTCAGCCAGGTTTACATGGGTATAATATCAAGTTATTTTTACAATAACCATTTGGTCAGGTTGGATAGGCTTAGAGGAAATGACTGGCCCTAACTGAAGGAGGACTTAAAGTGATCTTATTTTATTTATTTGTTTAGTTATTTAATCTGTATTAAATAACTAAACGCATCTCACCTAATGTCTGGCTCACAACCATCCAATAAAACAAGTTAAAAATCAATACTGTTTCCAAATGTATAAAGCCATCAAGAATCTACTTATCTTAGACCACTATTTTAAGCCCTCTATCACCACTGGCTCAAAAATACCTTTGGTGAAATAAATCTCTTAACTAAAATTGTGTTTAAGCACAGGCTACTTTTCTATTCTTAAGGAATGAGGATGAAGTCAATGGGAAATTTAATTAACAGTGGAGGCAGTTCTTGTGATTACTATCCTGTATTTAATCATTTATTATTTCACTAAAATAGCATAGTAAAATTAGTGCTAATGTTTTCAGGGCATTTAAAGCTTTAACATGCCCTGGAGGAAGCCTCAAATCATTTTATGGTAGGTGAGGACCATGTAAATGTGTCCTTTTTAAGGTGGGTCTTGTCTGCAGTAAAGATATTAGCTAGTTAGTTCCTCCACTCTCACATGTTTCATTGGCAATTTTCAAGATACAAACATGCCCTGGCAAGACTTTTTCTCATAAATATTCCCCATGAGGTCACCTCCATATCATCCCCAAACCTTGAAGGATTTAGACTTAGTTATTGCCTCACTTTTGATTTTCTCCAGGAGCAGCTTCAAGGTATGCAAAATCTGATCAGCTTTGTCACCCCATCACTTGGAGGGACACTGTCAGAATCCAATTATATTTCATCTCTAGTTATTAACTATGGAAAACCCCATTCCTGCCTTCCCTGGATTCTGTCATACGATGAAGGGAAGGGGGTGAACAAAGGGGCTTTATGGCCCTCATTTCCTTCAGTACACTTCAAAGAGACTGGATGTGGATACCACCAAAAGGACTAACCATAACAATGGGGCTATTAGCTTTAATATATTCCTCTCTGAAGTCTACCTCCTGTCGGCAGTGAGAGAAAGGGGGTGGGAACGTAATGCCTGGGATTGTCGCTGGAAGAAGGGGGTGATGGGGGGCTACTGGGGAACCCCCTAGAACCTTGAATGGGAGAACTTGGACCCCAAGTCCTGTCTAGAATGCCTGCAACCATTTTCTCTTAATAAAGATGCCTGTTGGAAGAAAGATTCCAAGAGTTCTGTCTTCTTAAGATGCAAAGTGGGTTGGGTCCTTACATTAGACAGGACTTGCAAAATTAATCCACCTGGAAGGGAAGCCCTTGCCGGGGGATTTTGCAAAAATTACCATGTCAGACAATGGAGCAAGGAAGGGAGAAAACTCCCTGGAAAGGGAGCCGCTGCCCCGACTGAAACCCTGCCAGATGTCAGGATCCGAGAAGTCAGATTCTCAGGAGAAGAGGTGGTGGAGACACGAGACCACAAGCCTCGCTGGTCAATGGACATTGGAAAGAAAGGCGAGTGGGAAAATAAATCAATAAAGGTGACCCTGAGACGGGGGGCCAAGCAATCAGAATGGAAGCAGGAGATGGAGAAATCCCTACATGCCAGCGAAGAGGAAGGGAGCTGGGCACCGTACTCAGACGGGATCCTAGAGAAAGCTATCGACCTGATAAAGAGAACTCTCAGCTCCCTAGGAGAGGAGAATCCTGAGCTCTACAGCTGCCCCAGCTCCTGGAACCGCAAAGGAGAGACACCGAGGGGGAAGTGGAACCTGCAGCCCTGGGGACATCTGCTGATCCAGTAGTCCCCACCCCCTACCGAACCACAGATGGCGATCTGGATGGAAGACACTACCACCGACAACGAAGGCACCGATCCATTCCAAGACGTCCACCGTTGGAGGTGAAATTCAAAGGGGAGCCAACACGCTTGGGTTTTTTCCTAACCCAAGTCCTCAGCTACATGGAGGAATATGGGCAGGAGATCCCCAGCAACAAAGCCCGCATCCGGATCGTGCAATCTGCCCTGGACGGACCAGCCACAGATTGGGAGGTGAACCTGCACGACTCCAATGCCCCAGAGCTCAACGACTTCAACCATTTCATGTCCTCTCTGAGAAGGCTACTTTAGGACTCCCTGGCTGATTGTAAAGCCGTGAAAGGATAAAAATGATGAGGCAAGGCAAATGCCCGGTGGCCGACTATACGCAAGAATTTTGGACCATTGCCAGCAAACTGAACTGGCCAGAAGACATCCTCCTTAGCCATTTCAAAGATGGACTAAATTATAACCTATATGATGCTTGCCTGCCCCGAGGGGACCCACACCAACTTGAGAAATGGTACATCTTGGCTGAGGAAAGAGAGATCGACATATTGAAGAGGCACCGTTGAGGAAAGCAATGGAGCTGCCCCCTGCCTGAATTGACACACGAACCAGTGAAACCATTGGCCACAGCCAAGAAGCAAATGGGATGTTTCAAAGAGAAGGGCATCGAGCTGTAGAATGCCGCTCAAAAGCCCCCCAGCACAACCCAGACAGATCGCCGATCAGCAAATCCGGAAAGTCTCCAGCTAAGCCAAAAGAAACTGCCATAAGAATGATGGAGGGGGTGGAATCCCCCACCTCCGCTCATCAGGGGGAAAGAACTCCAGCCTACACTGCAGGGCCGGTGGATGCCTCAGACGACAGCTCAGAGGGCGAACCCCTGGTAAGTGGACGCATCGCACCCATCCTCAAGACAGTAACTATATTAATTCCCCCCATGCCCGAAGCCATGAAGGTGAAAGCCTTAATAGACTGCACCCGCTGCCTCATTAGCCCAACACTAGTGGGGAATCTGGGCATTCCGTCGAGGAGACTGGAACAACCAATCTCATTTGGCCAGTTAGATGGATCCATAGCAGGGGGTGCCAGGTACCCTAGCCACTTTACCAATACACCTCTCCCTGGGCAAACACAAGGAGGACATAACGTTTGTGGTGACCCCAGGCATGGAATGCCCAATGATCCTAGGGATGCAATGGTTAAAAAAAATGTAACCCCTGGATGAATTGGAGGATGGCAGAAATCAAATTCCCGAAGGGGAACACTATGGATTTAAAACCCCAAGGCGGACTACAAGAACCAAGAACAGAAAAAGCATCCATGGGGGAGGAAAAAGGACCACCAAAAATACCAGAAGAATACAGAGACCTTGCTGAAGTTTTCAGTGAGTAGAGGGCGGATGAGCTTCCCTCCCACCGATCCACAGACTGTACCATTGAATTCAAGCCTGGGGCAAAACTCCCGAAGCCCAGATTATACTCCATGAGCCCAAAGGAGAAAGAGGAAATGGAAAGATTCATAAAAAAAACCTAGAAAGGGGGTTCATTGAGCCAGCCAAGCCTAAAGTGGCTGCCCCGATCCTTTTTAGAGAGAAGAAGGATGGCTCTTTAC